TTCCCTTTGAAAGTGTCAGCCACTGTTTCTTTGGCTGGTGGAGGGGAGGGGGAAACAGAATAACAAAAGCTCCCCTTATTTATTTAGATGGCGTGCTCTCGCGTTATGCAGTCATTTGAATACGCTTGATTGGAGGCTGCCAATATCTTCTTTTCTTTCCTTTCTTTTTTAACCACACTGCATTAATTTCTTAAAGTCGGCGCATTAAAAATGCAGGCACGGGCAGCGGCTTTGATAGCAAATGCTGTGATTCATGGATGCGGCTTTTGCTATCAAACAATGTTTGACAATAATCACATGATAATGAAATGTATAATTAATAATAAAAGTGCCAACATCTGTTAGTCTGTTATTACAGACTCATTCGGAGTGCGCTATTTTAAAGATGTCACCATTGACTTAATTTATATTAAAATGCCTTAAATACAGCCTGCTTTCTTTAGCTTCTAATTTAGGGTGGAACATGTCAGGCTGTGGAAGTTGTTTTGCACATCTCTCCTCCCCTCGCCACTCCCCCCCCCATGCTGCTTCCTTTGTCTCTTTTGAAATTTCACAAATGAATGCAGTCTTGCCAAAGCAACTCAAAAGTCACATTGGCAGATGGGTCCAACATTTGACTGGACTCCAAGTCAGCGGACTGGACATCCGATTCTCCGCTAGTGACTGTCTTCTCTGTCGACAGCCGTCTGTCTCCGCATATCCGCCTGTCCTCTAGCAGGTCTATTGATTGGACATGCTTTCTTCCTTGCCAAAAGAAGACTCCTCTTAGAGGCCAGAACTGCTCCCAGTGGAAGCATGAATTTCTTTGAATGTAAACACTAGTTTACGCAGCCCTACAATATGCATCCAGATACCGACGTCTCAATAAAACTGGCTTTACGGCTTGGAAGTTGGATTTCCTGAAAGCCTTTGGCTGGCGAACCAGATGTCTTTGCTACATTTAAGACATTCGGTGACACTTAACAAGAGAATTATAGGACACCAGGGATAATCTGTTGTGTGCAGAACAAACGAAAGGGGCAGCAGCTTTTTGGAGACATTCCCATGCATGCTCTGTCATGCCATCTGCGGGGGAAATTCTACATATGGGACTCTATTTGGAGAAGGAAGCAAAGCAACTAAGAAAGCCAGGCCGCCTCTTTTTAGATGCAAATAGAAGCCATTCTCTGACCTTCTGGAAAACCACCCCGAGGCTCGTGGTGACCATCTGAGGGCTACTCAGCCCCACAATGGCACAGTGACCCTTTGGAACATTTGACTTTTGAGGAAGATCTCCATTTGACAATGAACAGCAACAAACCATTTTGACAGCTTTGCTCTGGGCAGGAAATGTTTTGTCTCTCAAGGCTAACAGCCACTGGATGAGTTTTTTTAAAAAATTAAAAGGCAGTGCGGGACTGAGCCAGCTTTGAGGAGGACCCAGGTGTGCCCCTATCGATAGGTCCTTCTGCAGTGGCAGGCAATGTCAGTGCTCTAAATAACACCCAATAACTGCATCTTGCTGTTATTTTCATTTCCTATAATGCTGCAGCGCAATGTTATCTGAGGGCATTGTGGGAAATCCAAATGGCGGCCAAACCCAGTTGCCTGGTGCTGGTTGGGGCTCTGGTCCAGGAAGAAAATGGTTAAGCAGGGCATAGTGCATTTGTCAACAGAAGGTCCCGTCAAGTCGTGGGGCTCTGGCAATGGCCCAAGGATGCCCAGTGTTGAGCCAGCTCTTGTAATGGCTGAGCTAGTCCTGTTGCGTGGCGAGTTCCCGCCTCCCCCCGTTGGAAATAAAGACACAGGACACAGTTATTTAAGGTTAATGGGCTAAAAATGGCCACACCTTTATTGGTTACAGGTGATGAGCAGTATTGGCGTAGGCATTGGTCCTAACCCACTATCCGGCTTCAGCCTGTTCGCTTGAAGTCCGGGAAGGGTTAACCACCAGTAGGGGGAGTCCTGCTGATGCACATCAACTAGGAACTCCCCCGGGGTCACCGCTTGGCGGCATGCCTTAGGCCCTCACCTCCATAGGCTTCAGACAGAGCCACACACCCCAGAATCCTTTACCGGACTACCCTTCGATATGCGGGAGAGGCGATGGCGCTTCCTCCCCCCCTTCATCTACATAACAATACCCCTACCGATGCCTAACCACCAATGCCGAGGAAGTTGTGACGGTTTGCTACGAGGTAGGCGAAAAACCAAGTGGCTGGTGCCAATTTGCCAAGTGGAAAAAATTCCTACCAGGCCCCTTAAGGGCGACCAACCGAGGTCCATAGCAAGGTCCAAGGAGAAACCTAAAGGGCGGGAGGGTGGGAAACCCGTTGAGCTGAGGCAGCAAAAGAGGGAGATCCCCGGCCGCACCAGCGTGATATAGGGCAAACCACGCCCCCCCCAAGCCAGCCAATTCGCTGGCATGGGTATGACGCGGCCGGGGATCTCCTCAATCACGCGGAGGCTGAGAGCCAGCCTCTGCACGTGTGGAGAGGGCGTGAAGCCCGCAACTCCACCTCCTCTCAGATGCATCCCCATCAGATGAAGACCTACATGTCGTGAATTTATGGGGCCTCCTGCCTCCAGCTCTATCCCAGACATTTCCAGCACCTCAGAAGAAGCAATGTCAAGCCCCTCTGCAGCAAAGGACCCAGAAGGACTTGTGGACAATGCTCCTGGCTTCCTTGCAGAAACAAGTAAGGGGGGGAAGGTGGAACTCCTCCCAACCCTAGGGATGTTGGCATCACTAAGTGTGGGTGCAAGCAGCAACCTGTTGATGAAGCATGCATATCAAGGTCTGTCATGGGCCAGGAGTCAGCTTCACCTGCTGAAGGGAGAGAAGGCAGAGTGATTCCACCTGCAGCTGATCAGCCTTCAAGGGCACAGAGGAGAAGGTACTGATGAGAACCAGCTGGCTTCAGCCTTCGGAAGCAGAGCTTCCAGCAGGAGTCAGATGCTGGTAACAACGCTTCTAGTTCCTACTCTTACCTTGCTGCTTCCTGCTCGTCTTGACCCTTGACCCCATGACCCTTGACCCCTGGACTGTCTGACCATGTGGATTGTTGTTCGCCTGACCCTAGGACTGGACCTGACTTTGGATGCTTGCTCTACCCCCAGGCAAGTACACCTCAGAAACGCTTCTGGTTGGCTGGTCTCCCACTCCACTGAACTCTGCATTTTGCTGCTCAGTAATGAGACTGTGACAAGGTCCAGAAGAACCAGGCTCCTAGGGAGTAGAGAGCCTCTCAGAAACAGGGAACCTCAAAGGTTGGGGTTAGTAGTTGTAGCTGGGTCTGGGTGACCAGGCTACCTAAGGTCCCAATTGAAGCTGCTTAGATCCTTAGCTCTGTGCAACTCCTTCCATGTAGCTTGGGGGCTGATACAAGTAGGAACATTTTCTTTGGGAGGATGGAATGCTCAGCTAAGGCAGCATCCAGTCTTAGCACTGTGAGATTAGCATGTACCCAATCTCTAAAAGCAGGCAGATGCTTATCTCTGGTCTTAGTGCTGTGGGACTACATGACTAAGATCACAGGTAAGCCTGCATTGACTTGACAGGTGGTTGGCTCTGCCCAAATATCAAAAATGGCCTGCAAAGGGTGGGCCAGTTCTGGATTCAGCCCTCCAGCTGGATCAAGTTCTCCACCCCGATTCTGGGTTCATGTTTGCCAAGTGGGCTATTTTAAACAGACAAGTCCCCAGTTTTTACAAGAATTCTCTCTTCGTATTTCAACAAGAGGACTATGTATTTTGTCCCTGGGTATACCTGAGTCCAAATGTAAAATGGCCTTCAGCTATAAGGAACAAGCCAGCTTGGTATAGTGGTGTAACTGGACCAGGATAACTCCCAATCCAGACACACAGAGAATAAAAATTGAAACAACTTTTGTGTATACAGTGGTACCTCAGGTTAAGTACTTAATTCGTTCTGGAGGTCTGTTCTTAACCTGAAACTGTTGTTAACCTGAAGCATCACTTTAGCTAATGGGGCCTCCCACTTCTGCTGTGCTGCCAGAGCATGATTTCTGTTCTCATCCTAAAGCAAAGTTCGTAACCTGAGGCACTATTTCTGGGTTAGCAGAGTCTGTAACCTGAAGCGTATGTAACCTGAAGCGTATGTAACCTGAGGTACCACTGTACTACCTTGAGCTCATTGGGGGGAAGAGCAAAATTAGGGATGGGGAAGAAATGCAATTCAGGTTGCAATTAAAGGCAAACCAACCTAATTTGTATTTTCCAAGATGCTGGATGAACCAAAACACAAGCATCCTTGGAAATTTGCACTTATCCAAATTTTGCAGTTCTCCAACCAAGTAACATGCAGACAGGGTGGAAGTTTGCATAAAATCAGCATGTATTAGTGAAAATATCATTAAACTGCATTGTATTAGAAAAGCTGGCCTTTCAAAAATGTGTACAATGGGCAAACATGCATACAAAACTGTGTCTATTACGTGAAATTCGCATTTAAATGCTCGTGGATTTTCATAAGGACTTTCTTTAAAAATCACCAACTGATGTGGAACTGTGAAGAACTGAACAAAATTGGGGCAGAGGGGTGGGGAGAGAGAATGAGAGAAACTGAAATTGACAGACATGCCTGTCCCTAGGCAATGATGCAAATGGTGACACAGAAATGAGTACAGAATTGTTGGTTGTGAATGCAATTTTTTTATCAGTGAATTTGTACAGCTAATGAACTAAAATTAGATCTCTGTAGTGCTTCAAGCACCTCTTATGCAAGGACCAGGCAGTGGTTAGAGGGTGCTATCATTATCTACAACCTCCACTGGGCGACATTCCATTCAGCCTGGCGAAAGAGATCTGTGGAGCACTTTCTACCTGACATGCCATTTATTCTTCCTATATTAGTACACAGCTAAACTCTGTGATTATAGCTCTCCTAATATTTTGTGTATAGAGGGCACTTTACAAGGTATTGGATTTTAACTACAAAGATATATGCTTCCATAAGTGCAGGCTATTAAAACAATTTAATAGCATGTCAACAAGCGCTGATTTGTACATAAAAAAACAGGATTGTTTTGTTTTTAATTCATCGAGCCAATTCTGCTACGCACCATCGAGAGCTATTGAGAATCGCTTTGTGCTAACAGGATTACATGACTAGGACTGTGAGTTGCTTCCATCTGAATTCTCCCAAAGGCCGCCCGCAGGTTAAAGAGAGACTGACTGAGTGACATTCGGTGAATGGAAGGAATGAGGCGGCTCTGTGGCTGGTTTGGCACTGGCAATATTTGACGTCCCCTCCCCTCCATGTAGTGAGGAGGCTGAGCTAATGGGTGTCCCCATTCACGGAGGTGGGCAAGACAAGTGGAGCCAAAAGAATAATACACAATAAATCATTCATCCAACCAAGTTGGACATGCTTTCCTTCTTCCCTGAAGATCTGGGAGTCCGTCGCAGTTTTCCAAATGAATTTATTACTTGCCATTAATTAAAAGCAATTGTTCTCAGCCCTTTCAGACTCGGGGACTGCTTCTCAATACAATCGGCAGCACTGGACTCCCCCGCCTTTTTTTTCTTATTCTGAATATTCCCAGCCAACTTCCTGCTTTTATCTACCTTCCTCTAAGTGTGACCAGACAAAATGGAGAGCATCGGCTCCTGTACTTTTTGTTGTTGCACAGGAGACGGCATGTTGGTAGGTACAGCTTTTCAGCGTAGCGTGAAAGCGCTGTACTTGCAGGAAGTTGCCTTTCTACACAACCAGGGGCATCATCAAAGAGGGCTGAGGGCAGTCCATTTTTACATACTCCTTATAACATTGCTACTAAAAACCCCTTAGCTTCATTCCGACATCATTCTAACATTCATTAATTTTACAGTATTTCTGTAAATAGTCTTTAAATTTCTTCCAGTCTTCTTCCACCGACTCTTCTCCCTGGTCTCGGATTCTGCCAGTCATTTCTGCCCGTTCCATATAGTCCATCAACTTCATCTGCCATTCTTCCCGGGTGGGTAAATCTTGTGTCTTCCAATACTTCGCGAAGAGTATTCTTGCTGCTGTTGTGGCATACATAAAGAAAATTCTATCCTTCTTTGGCACCAATTGGCCGACTATGCCCAGGAGAAAGGCCTCTGGTTTCTTCAGGAAGGACTGCTAACAGATGAGAATATACAGTTATTACATATTAAGACAAAGGACTAAGATAAAAACAAAGAGGGAAAGGATTTGCTGAATTAACATACTGAACTGGAATACAAAAAGGGGAGGTGTGAGGAGGTCAGGGAAACAAGTAAATGAAAGACAAGATATGGAAAGATTGATTTGTTTTTTAATTGTTTTTACTTTTTTGTATTTTGTATTCTTTTTCTGTTTTATTCTTTTTTTCTCTCTTATTATTATTATTATTGTAACCTTTTTTTTACTTTGGAAACTTTAATAAATATCTTATAAAAAAAAATCAAAGAGGGCTGAGGGGTCGAATCCCCTCCCCAAAATTTTCAAGGAGGGGGCCAGGACCCCTCAATATTCTGTGGCAACCATGTGCACATCCATTGTGCATGCCACACGTCATGCTGATGTCACACGCCCAACCCACGCAGCATGCATGTTGTGCAGCATGCGCAAGTGACATCAGCACTCAATTGCAGTGGCAAGCTAGCATGCTTGTACACAGCTAACAGTGCAATCCTATACAGGTATACTTTAAAGCAAGCCCCATTTACTACCTATTTATTTATTTATTTGTTTGTTTGTTTTTGCTTACGCGCCAACAAAATGCAAAAAGAGAAAGTATTTACGTCATTTGTTACAAATTACACCATTCACCAAAAAGGATAAATTTATATAATTGACAATAAATCTTCTTGTAGTTCATTGACTTCCCGTCTTCTCCATACTTCATTTCTAATTTACTAACCTTTTGCATAAACCTATCTATTCATTTTACAGTAAAATATTATTTCTCCCGTATCCTTATTTCTTACTTGGTACAACTACAGAGGTTATTCAAAAGCAGCAACCAAGTTCGGACTTCCACAGTTGTTTTTAAGATGCGTTTTAAGAGGTTCCCATTTTGTAATAAATACATGTTTGGACTTATCTTTCATTATTTCAGTTAATTTCGCTTATTTTGCATATTCAACTAATTTCTGTAGCCATTCTGACCTCGAAGGGGTTTTATCACTTTTCCAGTTACTCGCAATTAAAATTCTTATGGCAATGGTACCGTGTAGAAAGATATTTCACCTTCGGAGGAGTATCCAATCTTCTGATTCCCAGTAAGAAGGCCTCTGGGTTTTGGTTTTGGTTTTTTGTTAAAGAGGCCCCTAACAATTTTTTAAGTTCTAAATAGACATCATCCCAAAAAGGTTTAATTTTTTTACATAGCCCCATTTACCTCAGTGATTTTACTCACAGGCAAATGGGTGTGTATGTTTGCTGTTTCTGTTGGTTAATTGTATGTGTATAGTCAGCTGCTCAGTCAAAGATGTGTTGCAGCTTAAACAGCTAGGAGGCCTGTTTCCCTTGGCACCTGGTCAGTCTTGCTCTAAATTAAGATTAAGGAACATCTGGCTCTCTAGAGTTTGTTGGACTCCATCTCCCATCAGCTACATGCAGTAGTCAGTGATTACGATATATATTTTTTTACGATAATCTTTATTGTCATTGTCCCATACAGAACAACGAAATTGAAAAAATCTACATCAGACATTCAAAAACCAACAAGCCTGCTATCCCAGCTATCCCAGCCTGGTTAACCCCCTAAAAACTCTGATACCCCATAATTAAATACAATATACTCCCACAGAGACTACCTTACACTGCGTTTAAAACCAAAATTGCATTTGGATAAAAACTGTTTCTCAGGTGGCTAGTCCTAGTCTTTATAACCCTGTACCTTCTTCCAGAAGGCAGAAGCTGAAAGAGATCGTTTCCGGGGTGCACACTATCCTGCGCTATCTCTGCAGCTTTCTTATGACACCTGGAAGCATAGATTTGATCCAAGGTGGGAAGAGTGCACCCAATTATTCTCTCCGCAGTCTTTACAACCCTGGACAGCATTGGTTTTTCCCTGACCATGCAGCTCCCAAACAACACACACAGACCATAAGTTAATACACTCTCAACAGTACAATGGTAAAATGCCATCAACAGGTCCTTTGAGAGATAATTTTTCCAGAGGATTCTCAGAAAATATAACCTCTGCTGTGCTCTCTTTATCAGGTCTTTACTGATTTTTCCCCAGGTTAGGTCATCTCTCAACTCCATTCCCAGAAATCGAAACACCGAGACCTGTTCCACGCACTTCCCCTCAATAATAAGTGGCTGAATATTCAATTTACATTTCCTAAAGTCCACAACAATCTCTTTTGTTTTCTTTAAGTAAAGGAGGAAGTTGTTTTTCCTGCACCACTCCCCCAACTGCTCAACTTCCTTACTATAGGCCGCCTCCCCCTCTCCAGCCGTGATTAAACCAACCACCGTTGTATCAACTGCAAACTTAATGATCTTATTACTGGGGTATTTGGGGGCACAGTCAGCTGTATAGAGCGTATTAGGAATAGGAACATGAAAAGAGCCCTTTTGGATCAAGCCAAAGGCTCATCTAGCCGAGTATCCTGTTCCAAACAGATGCCCATGGGAAGCCTAGTGGGACCTCGGCATCACACTAATAATAATAATAAATTTTATTTATATCCCGCCCTCCCCAGCCGAAGCTGGGCTCAGGGCGGCTAACAACAATCAAAGTAATCCAGCATTCTAAAAAGATTCATTATAAAATTAATTAAAATCAAATTGATGGCAACCATTAAGCAAAATTCTGTGCAGATTGCCAGAGGACGGGGTCAGGCTGCGCCCTGACCAAAGGCCTGGTGGAACAGCTCTGCCTTGCAGGCCCTGCGGAAAGATGTCAGGTCCCGCAGGGCCCTAGTCTCTTGTGACAGAGCGTTCCACTAGTGATTCCCACCAATTGGCATTCACTGTGGAAGTAGAATAATAGCCTTTCGTAGCCCAATCCTCCATGAATTTGCCTGATCTTCATTTAAAGCTTATCTAAGTTGGCAGCCATCACTGTCTGCTGTGGGAGCAAGTTCCATCGTTTATGCAGTGATCCATCTTCAGCATGCTAGGCCTTCGGAATTTTTGAATACCTCTATGATGTTTCTGATTCATCTTCTCTTCTTCAGTCTTAACATGCCCAGCTATTTTCACAGTTCATCCATAGGACTTTGTTTCCAGGTTCCTCACTGTCCTAGTCACCTGTCAGGCTTTGGGGGCTCAGCTTCCTCCCCCCTTGTCCGTAGATAAGCAGTACAAAGAGAAAGCAGTCTCTTACCACCAGTAACAGAAATGTTTAATAAACCCAGCAAAAGAACAAGCGACCATTCTCGGAGTGCAGGTGCTCCCCAATTAAGGTTCCTCCCACTTTCCTCTAGTAACTTGCATCCTCTTGTCTCCTAGCTACCTGATCTCTCAACCATTGAGTCTTTTGTGCAGCCACCTTATCTAATCTCCTAGCCTTAGGACTGAGAGTCAGCTAGCTCATTCTCTTCCCATTCTTCCTCTTGCTGTTCGACTCCCAGTTCTGTCCAGCTATTGCCTTCCGAACTGTGCCCCTCAGCGAGCCATTGTTCCAAATCAACACTGCTCCTGTGGAGTTTCAGGATTGTGGCCATGTTGGTGGAGGCTCCCACCATTCCTCATCAGAGTTGTACTCCTCAGCCTGGTCTCTGACATCACCCTACTCTGTTGTCATCTCTCATTAGTCAACATCCTGCTGAAGTAGTGGTGCCCAGAGCTAGGAGTGGGAGGGGAAATTCTATTTTGTTTGCATTTTAATAAGAAACTACCTATTTTGCACTTTCCAAAACTGCATGTAATAGACGTAATAAATTAATATGTGAACCAAAGCACAGCTATCCTTTGAAATTTGCATTTCTCCAAATTTTATGATTCTGTTCACGACTCAAAATGTGTATATTAGTGAAAATGGCATGGAAAAGAGCATAATATTGGGGGGGGTTTGATTGAAAAATCTGTTTATTAGTCATTTGTTGTTTAGTCATTTAGTCGTGTCCGACTCTTCGTGACCCCATGGACCACAGCACGCCAGGCACTCCTGTCTTCCACTGCCTCCCGCAGTTTGGTCAAACTCATGCTGGTAGCTTCGAGAACACTGTCCAATCATCTCGTCCTCCGTCGTCCCCTTCTCCTTGTGCCCTCCATCTTTCCCAACACCAGGGTCTTTTCCAGGGAGTCTTCTCTTCTCTTGAGGTGGCCAGAGTATTAGAGCCTCAGCTTCAGGATCTGTCCTTCCAGTGAGCACTCAGGGCTGATTTCCTTAAGAATAGATAGGTTTGGTCTTCTTGCAGTCCATGGGACTCTCAAGAGTCTCCTCCAGAACCATAATACAAAATTATTAGTCATAACTGCATACAAAGCTGTTTATTGGGAGAAATCCATACAAAAATGGATTTCATGAGGTTTTTTCAGGGGGGAGTTGGAAATTGCAGCAAAAATCTTAGCTTTAAGATTTTAAAAAATGAGAAACAGAGAAAACTGAAATTGACAAATTTGCCCATTCCTCCTCTGAACTGAATACTAAAATGCAGACTGACCACCACAAAACAGAGTGGAATGATGACGGAGGATACTAGCATGCTCTTCCTTAGTGTTCATTGGAAGGAGTGGTAAATTTATTATCAGAGCCATCTCATCTCTTCAAAATGGGATCACTTTCTAACCTTGACCGTAGGTTCCCAAGAGAGGACTCAGAAAGGTTTCTTCTGGGACAGCATTCACATACATCCCTTAGCAGAGGTGATCCAATGTCTTGCAAGGTACTGAGAAGGCAGCCAGCATAGTTTAATACCATCCCAGACAATGCAAAGTGATTTTCAGTGCTCTCCTGTGCAGGATCAAAGTACGTAATCTTACCATCTTGAAAATGCAAGAAATAATCTGTGCAAATTGCCTTGCCTCATTGAATAGCTACATTAATAATTACTATATCCTTGCTGGAACTCATACCCGTCCACCAGGTGAGAGCGAATAAAATTAAATTTAGGGGAGGGCAGAAGCAATATTCCAGGCACTCTGGACCCCAGCAGCCACACAGCAAGCACCTGGTGTTTAGAAGCATAATAAAACTTCTTCAGGTCTCTCATCGTTTGCCAGCAGTTATGTCTGTACGTTCTGATGCAATAAAACATGCCTGTGCACCCAGCAAAACAAGCAAGGTGTATTTCTTGTATGTTAGAAGTTGATCTAATTGCAGGAGATGGGGGGGGGACACTGGTTGGGGAAATCCTCATGCAGCGTGACTGGGTCATTTTTAAAGAGCAAGCTGCCGCCTGATAATTTTTGGAATGTGCACAAGTGCTTTGCAAGAGTGAAGTATTGCTTGGGTATTTTCTCTCTCTCTCTCCATCAGGAGAACTTTTAAATCCTTGGTCAACAACTTGTTTGCTTTGAGTGCTTTGCATGTGTGTGTGTGTGTGTGTGTGTAGCGGTCCATAGACCCACAGAACAGTTTCAAAACAAGATACAGTCAAGACAACCAAACAACAGGCGAAAGAGACCGATTAATAGAATAGGGTCAGAACGCAGAGCAAAAGAATCGCATCCATATCATTTGAGGATGTGCTCAACAGTCACAGTGGTGCCTCAGGTTAAGTACTTAATTCGTTCCGGAGGCCCGTTCTTAACCTGAAACTGTTCTTAACCTGAAGCACCACTTTAGCTAATGGGGCCTCCTGCTGCTGCCGCACCTCCGGAGCACAATTTCTGTTCTCATCCTGAAGCAAAGTTCTTAACCCGAGGTACTATTTCTGGGTTAGCGGTGCCTGTAACCTGAAGTGTATGTAACCCGAGGTACCACTGTATTGTAGAATTTCACAGGCATATTTTTTTAAACACACACAATTACACCTGTGAAATTATATGTAATTCACTGAGCACATAAAGGAATCATCCCAAAATAATGTGAATGTCTTATACTCTGTATGTCTTAAGGAGCTAAAGAACCACATCTTGTTTGACACACTCCAGAAGACATTGTATCTTGATAATCAGCATAATTGGGGGGCTATTGGGTTGTTTTTGTTTTTATTTTGTGGTTTTATATCTTGATTTTATTCTGTGAACTGCCCTGAGACCCCCTGGGTATAGGGCGGTATATAAATTCAATAAATCATCATCATCATCTCAGGCCACACGGCTCAACCCTTTAAGCCCCTGGCAAGTCTTTCAGTAGTGCTTTCTATCAACAAACTTAACTGTGTCCAAGCCATTGGTTGCACCTGCAACACATGAAGTCCAGGGATATTCAAACTGTAGAGAAGGGAACAGGATCACATCTAGTGAGCTGGTTTTCTGTGCATTGATCAGGTTCTCCACATTGGACCTGCTACCTTCTCCAACTTAGAGTATCTCCAGGTTTCATATCATCTGCAAAGGTGTGAAGGTACACAATGGTAGACTTTTGGATTTAATGATTTTATAGGGTCCCCCTTTAATAGAGTGCGAGAGCAGTGAGAGGGCAGCCCAAGATCCCTCAGCCCCCCCTTCATTGCTCTTATTCACCCCATGAGACTCTGAGGATGGTGCCTGATAAGCTGAGACCACTGCCACTCTTGCCCTGGGGTCAGAATGTTTCGAAATTGAAATAGTTGGTAGCTGCCTCAGCTGCCATAGCGTCTATTTGCTTCCTCTCATATCGCTGCCTGCTGCTGTGTGTTATTTTGAGGGTCATTTGACACAGCAAGGTACTAAGGAGCATGGTAAATGACAGTTACTTTGAAAAAGTGTGGCTCCCATTTGTGTCTTTCATGAACAGGAATTTGCAGACCATTACCCTTCTGGCATCTTATGTGCCGTAGGTCATATTCATGCCATACATTTAAAGCACACAACTTCCTCAAAAAAGCCTGGGAACTGTAGTTTACCACACACACACAGAGCTACAGTTCTCAACATCCTTAAAAAACAACTGTTCCCATGATTCTTGGGGGGAAAACCATATGCTTTAAATGTATAAAGGTAAAAGGTAAGAACTCCTGGACAGTTAAGTCCAGCCAAAGGCGACTATGGGGTGTGGTGCTCATCTCGCTTTTCAGGCTGAGGGATCCAGCATTTGTCTACAGAGTGCTTTCCGGGTCATGTGGCCACCAGGACTAAACCACTTCTGGTGCAACAGGACATTGTGATGGAAATCACGAATGCACGGAAATGCTGTTTACCTTCCCACCAAATCGGTACCTATTTATTTACTTGCACTGGCATGCTTTCGAACTGCTAGGTTGGCAGAAGCAACGGGAGCTCATCCCGTTGCGGGGATTCGAACTGCTGACCTTCTGATCCGCAAACCCAAGAGGCTCAGTGGTTTAGACCACAGTGCCACCCATGTCCCTTTTAAGTGTATGGTGTGGATGTGACCCCAATGGTGGGAGCTGCTGATACATGCTGTCAAAGTTACAGGGTTGCAAAGGTTCTCTGTTAAGGAAGACAAGAGTATTAGTAGTAATTTGAGGCACAAATTTATTTCTGTGTATTTGTGAAAATTGTGGCTTTCTATGATATGCTTTCATTGGACCGTTGAGTTCTGTCTGTATTTGCTGTTTGAAATAATGGAATACATTTATAAAGAAGAATAGATATGGCTGTTTTAAACATGGTGTACAGGGGGGTTTCAGCTGGAACTCAGTTCCAGCACCTCTCAGCTGGGCGCCATTGCCATTCTAAGAGAACAAGAGAGGTGTTCATGGTGAATTCCGGCACCTCTTTTTCTAGAAAAATAGCACTGGTGGTGCATATAATAATAATTATTTATTATTCATACCCCACCCATCTGGCTGGGTTTCCCCAGCCACTCTGGGCAGCTTCCAACAAAATATTTAAATACATTAAAAACATTAAAAGCTTCCTAAACAGGGCTGCCTTCAGATGTCTTCTAAAAGTCTGGTAGTTGTTTTGAGCAAGCTCAGATAGCTCTAAGTTCATATAAAACAATGGAAATATGGCTGTGGTGACTTAAAAATTAAAAACCAGAGAGCAAATTATTATTATTTTTGTGAAAGAAAGTGGGGGAAAGGTTCACGTGTTAGGAGCAGGAAAGTTTTTAGAAGTCTGAGTTTTAATTACAAACTTATATGATTTAGAGAAAGCCTTTTCTACAAGATGAGAGAGAGATGATAGATAGATAGATAGATAGATAGGTAGGTAGATTTATGGTGACCAGTTATGTACACCTGGCGGATTCTGCTTGGTTTGTTCATCGTAAGTTTAAAAAGCAAAGTGTGCAAACAGGAAGAACTGTGGGGGTGGGTACCTGCTGAACGCTGTGAATTGGCGAGCTCAGTGGGGCTGCCATTTCATGTGGTCTCCCTATTTCTTGGCCCGAAAGGTAATGAGGACAAATGGCAAGGAGGTCTCCACAGAGCGCCAGAGCTGTTGCTAAATTAATCATGTATTACTCAGAGCTAATTTAGAAGAAATAAAAGTGTGACAAAGGGGCATGCTGAATTCTGCCTCAATATGCCCTGTGGTAAAATAATAATAATAGTAATAACAGTCAGGTGATGGAATGGCTTTCTCAACAACTCACTGCTATTCAGACTCTGGAAAGCAAAGCTGGTTGCCAGACAAGACGAATTACTTATAATGAACTAGAATAAAGGCCAGATACGTTTCCATCTAGAGCAGGGATGGGGAACATGGGAAGATGCCTTATATTCAGTCAGACTGTTGGCTCATCTAGACATTGTCTACACCGACTGGCATCAGCTTTCCAGAGGAGGAGGGACATTCCCCGTCTCACCTGAAGATGATGGGGAACCTCTGGTCCTTCAAATACTGTGGAATTTCCCGTTGCTCGGTCCCTGCTCCTGCCAACCTAGCAGTTTGAAAGCACGTCAAAGTGCAAGTAGATAAATAGGTACTGCTCCGGCGGGAAGGTAAACGGCATTTCTGTGCGCTGCTCTGGTTCGCCAGAAGCGGCTTCCGGAAGCTGTACACTGGCTCCCTCAGCCAATAAAGCGAGATGAGCACCGCAACCCCAGAGTCGGCCATGACTGGACCTAACAGTCAGGGGTCCCTTTACCTTTAGGCCAGGAATATCTGGAGAGATAAAGGATCCCACCCCTTTTCTAGAAAATATACTGGGTGCAGTTATTTGGCGCTGGCATTCTAAATATCCACCGTAAGTTAAAAGACTCGCAAATTAAAGTTTTGCTCACAGAGCTTTAAGGAATGAAATATAAGAACTCAGGCTTACATAATTGAGAGGGTGGAGAACTGAATTGAGCTGGTGGAGAAATTCATGAAGTATAAGGCTATCAATAGCTACTAGCCGTGATGTTTGTGTCCTACCTCCACTGCTGGGCAATCTGCCTCTGAATACCGTCCTCTTCCCTGCCGTAAAAACAGATTGCTGGACTAGATGAGCCTTTTGCCCAATCTAGCCAGGCTGTTCTTAGGTGCTTATATTCTTTCTCCAGATACTGAACTTTGCACAGCTCTAGCCGACCCACTTTCCCAATGTGCTAATTTTGTTCACTTGAACTCGGTTCCACTTGGCTGGATTTGGCATCTGGAAGAAAGCTATCTAGAGCCCAGGGTCTCTCTTTTTTTCCTTGTGATGAGTCTTTATTTCTCCCTCCCCCTTTTTAAAAATCATTTTTATTTGGTTTTACAAATACAAAGTTATAAAAATCCAAATACAGTGGTACCTCGGGTTACATACGCTTCAGGTTACATACGCTTCAGCTTACAGACTCCGCTAACCCAGAAATAGTGCTTCAGGTTAAGAACTTTGCATCAGGATAAGAACAGAAATCGGGCTCCAGCAGCAGGAGGCCCCATTAGCTAAAGTGGCGCTTCAGGTTGAGAACAGTTTCAGATTAAGAACGGACCTCCGGAACGAATTAAGTACTTAACCCAAGGTACCACTTTATATATCCATATCCTGCCAATCTCAGGACTTCCCCCCCACGGCCTCCATGGGGGTCTTATTTTGAACATTAAAACTGCATATTCTTCCATACTCTAACTTTTATATCAATCCATGTTATCCATGGCAATTGTTATACTACAAGTGAGATCAAAATCCTGCCCATGTTTCCATCCGCTTACAGTGGTCTCCTAAACAACTTATTATTTTCCCCATTCTTTATAAAGTTTTTATCCTCTTGGTTTCCAAGTTTTCCAGCCAGTTTTGCCATTTCGGCATAATTCATCAGATTGGTTTGCCATTCCTCTCTGGTAGGGACCTTGTCTTCTTTCCATCTCTGGGTTAGTAACATCTGGGCGGCTGTTGTTCCATACATGAAAAGTCTTTTCTGCTCCTTTGGAATGTCAGTACCTGTAATTCCTAATAAAAAGCTTCTGGCTTCATAACAAAGGTTATTTTAAACATTTTTTTTCATTTCATTATATATCATTTCCTAGAAAGCTTGCTCATGCGCCTGTCTGCCTTGAAGATCTAATGACCCTGGAGTTTCATGTTAGCTTTGCCGTTGATACAGAAATGTATTTTTTTGCACCTTCTAACACAGGTGGCACTGTGGTGTAAGCCACTGAGCTTCTGGGCTTGCCGATCGGAAGGTCGGCAGTTCGAATCCCTGTGACAGGGTGAGCTCCTGTTGCTCGGTCCCTGCTCCTGGCAACCTAGTAGTTCGAAAGCACATCAGAGTGCGAGTAGATAAATAGGTACCGCTCTGGTGGGAAGGTAAACGGCATTTCCGTGTGCTGCTCTGGTTTTGCCAGAAGCGGCTTAGTCATACTGACCACATGACTCGGAAAAACTGTCTGTGGACAAACGCTGGCTCCCTTGACCAGTAAAGTGAGATGAGCGCCGCAGCCCCAGAATCATCTACAACTGGACTTAATTGTCAGTGGTCCTTTACCTTTAAATGGGGCGTGTGCTGAACAGGTAGAGTGGGAGCAGGATTGTGCTCTGGCCACACTGACTGAGCCTTGTTCATCCACCAGCCTGGCAGAAGATGTACGTGGCCCCATTGTGCATATACAACATTTGCTTGAAATCCATCTAGCTCAGTATTTTCTGTATCAACTGGCAGCAAGTCTCTGGGATTTCAGACAGGGGTCCCTCCCTGGAGATGCAGGGAATTCAGCTATGGCCATTCCCAGTGTTCTTTATCCTGGGTCAGGAGGTGACCCTGCCGAATCTCACAAGAAGCAGAAAATGTAGAAGGACTGCATCTGGCTAAGTCTCACTCAGAGTGGGCACACTGAAATTAATTGGCCTAAGTTGTGCTCATTAGATTCAATGAGTCTACTCTGAGTAGGCCAAGAAAATGACATGGTTGCAAGCCCCTTTCATACTCACCAACATTTCTTCAATGAAAATAGGGATGTCCTATTCCATAACAAAAATAATTTTATTATTTATACCCCGCCCATCTGACTGGGCTGCCCCAGCTACTCTGGGCAGCTTCCAACATATATAAAAACATAATAAAACATTAAATATTTAAAACTTCCCTATACAGGGCTACCTTCAGATGTCTTCCAAAGGTTGTATAGTTAACTTATCCCCTTGACTCAGGAGTCACATGACTCCTTACCCTCCAATGAAAATAGGGACATCCTACCATACCCTTCAACATTTCTAACATTTCTCTGATGAAAATACCATAGGTACATCCAAAGAAAAAGTTGGACATTCTGGTATCAACTCAGAAACTGGGATGGCTTCTTTGAATCCAAGACTGTCCCTGGAAAATAGGGACACTTGGAGGGTCTGGATTTCATTGTAGACCTTGGCCCATGTCCTGGCTCTTGCTGAATGAAGAGTGGTGTAGCGTGGGTTGTCAGCACCCGGGGCAAGGCAAGTAATTTGCGCCCCCTAGAGTGAGTGAGCCAGGTAGGGGCAGAGAGCTGTGAGTGCGAGCGCGCCCCCCCAGATGTTGCGCCTGGTACGGCCGGCCCCCCCTGCACCCCCCACGCTACGCCACTGATCTTGGGTTTTGGTTTTTGCCAAAGATTCAGTGGTCAAATCAGTGCAATACACTGGCAAGGGATAAAAGTTACAGCAGGTGGAATGTGTATGGCTAGGATTGCCCTTTTTAAGCATAGAGTTGCTTGTTTCAATTACATCCTCTTTTCCCAATAACTTCCTTTGCTCCACAACACAACAAAGGCACTGTTGCAGCAAGTCAGCCAAACTTTGATAGCAGAAGTGTACATCTGGAGCCAAGAAATGACTGCAGAGCCAAAGCTGCAAACCAAGGAGGTGTTTGCTCAGGGTTGCAACCCCAGAAACAGAAGTTGGTGAGAACTCAGCCAGATGTGCTTTTTTCCTCGGAGAATCTTCTTTCAAGCTGTCTCCGGTGGAGCTATCTCAGCAGAGGATCTCCATATACAAATACAAGAGAGGGACAGGAAAAACACTTTGGTGGGAAAATGTATTAAAATATTACAACTGCTCATCTGAAACAAAGAATCCATAAATCATTATTTCAGCAAGTCACCAGCTTCCAACCGTGTGCTCTCTTTCCAGCAACTTCATTACAGCAGAATCTCTTTTGTTTCCTTACACTCGAAAATGGCCTTCATCTTGCAATAACAAAATGTGCTTTCCGTTCCACGGTAGCTGACAACATTACCGATAACGCCTTTTTAGAAAACGAAAAACATACTTGCAATTTTACAAGGTCAAATGATTTCCTAGAAGTAAGCAAAAGAATAGCGGAGATGGTCCCACACTCGCTGAGAAGTTTTCGTTGGCGTTAAAGGGAGGTGTGGCAGATCCAAGATAAGTTGTCCTGCTTTTATTAAGGGACGCACAAACTCTGCCTCAGCCTGCAGTTCAACTCCTAACAGCTACTTAAAGATTTCATGACTCCCATGTCCTTGTGCCAGGGCAGGGATATTAACTGATAGCTTTCTTACAAATGTGTCAAATGCATGGATTGATGCCATTGGGTTCAAGAGCCAGTGTTTGCTGATATGGTCCCAATGTGTCTGATTAGCATTAGGAACATAGGAAACTTCCTTGTGCTGATGCACACCCACCTTGCTTAATATAGTTTGCACTGGCTGATAGAAGCTCCCCAGAATTGCAGACAGCTGTCACTCCCAGCCCTACCTGGGGATTGAACCTGGGACCTTCTGCATGCAAAGCAGATGCTCTGTTGCTGAGCCACAACCTTTTCCCATTCTTTACACTGGTCTAGGAGATGACCCTGCTGAGAGCCAGTGTGGTGTAGTGGTTAAGAGCGGTGGATTCGTAATCTGGTGAACCGGGTTCGCATCTCCTCTCCTCCACATGCAGCTGCTGGGTGACCTTGGGCTAGTCACACTTCTCTGAAGTCTCTCAGCCCCACTCACCTCACAGAGTGTTTGTTGTGGGGGAGGAAGGGAAAGGGGAATGTTAGCCGCTTTGAGACTCCTTCAGGTAGTGATAAAGCGGGATATCAAATCCAAACTCTTCTTCTTCTTCTTCTGAATACCACAAAGCAAAGGTTGTTTTCTGCCAAGTCAGAGCAAGTATCTCCCTCCCTTCCAATGCAATGACCACCTGTACAGCAAGAAAGTCTGTCGTATAATTATGTGTGGTTACATAGCATGTGTGCTGGTCCCGGAGGCTAACCAAGAGGCAAGGTCCAAGTCCAGTCCGAGGTCGATGGTGCAAAATGAAGGCAGTCTGCAGAAGTTGAAGCTGGGTGCAGGGCAGGGCGTCGGGTGAGGTCAGGAGCTCTGGCAGGGAAGCAGGTCAGGGATCAGGCTGGAACTGACAACCAACAATGTTGCTCCTGCAACTTGGGACTGGGGCTGGCTGGCTTTTATCTGCCCCGAGGCATAGGGTGGCCCCGATCCTCAGGTGATTCACCTCTCCTGGCCTGGAGGCGAGCACTCCTCCTGCGGGAACTTAGTCCCCTCCGCCTCTCTGCCCTGAGCCTCTGCAGCTCAGGAGAGGCTAGAGGGTTACCGGACCCAGAGGCAACCTCAGCTTCCTCTGATGGGGCTGAGGGTGGAGCACCTGCAGGCAATGGGTCCTCCATCCCCTCAGGAGCCAGAGGAGACTCAGCTGGTGCCTGCACCTGAGGATCCAGCACAGGTGAGGACCCTTCAGGCTCAAGCCCCAGCCCCGGCTCAGCTGGTTCTGGAGGCGGGGAATCCTGTGCAGGCTGTGATCCCTCAGGTTCAGCATCCGAATCTGATTCCCAGGCCATCACAGCATGATTCTCCCTCATCATCCTCTGGTCCTTAAGGTGGAAGATGGCAACAGGAAGCCCAGAGTCACTCACACCAGGGGTCTACTCTGGTTGGAAGGAGGGATCTACTTGGAAGGAAGAAGATCCGACTGCAAGCAGTGTTTCAACAGATGACCAGGTAGAGGAGGATCTGACTCTAGAAGGCTGTGTTCACACTCCCATTTACTACAGTGTTTCCACTGCTGGGTCTTCAGGCTATGTTGACATGACATTTCCCAAAATGCACATGTGTCCTCTAATTTGTTGCCACTGTTTGATGCATTGCTTCTCAAATCATCCTCACACCAGCTGGAGTCGCTAAGCCATTCCTAGATTGTCTCTAACTGTGGTGTGAACATCGTTGCATAGGGTAAAGACATTCCTACGCGTCAACACCCTCTTGTGTGTAGACAAACAGAAACAAACCTGATGCGAAGAGCTAGCAGGGAAAGACCTGTGAAACACCAGAAAAATACAAAAACTTCACTGCACTCTAAGGTGGTAATGTGAAGACACCATAAGTGTCTCCAACTGCTCTTTGATGGGTTCACAGTTCCCTGTTTTGTTCATTAGTCTCCTGCTTTGGAAATCTTCCTGACTCTGACCTCCACAACAAGTTCTGGCCATGGACTTGTTTGATAGCATTGGCCAACCTGGTGTCCTTCAGATGTCCCATCATCCAGCACATCATCTCTTTCCCTGTCTCCCCCCCCCCCTTTTTACATTGACTGGAGCCATTAGGCATAGACCACTGGCAGTGGGGGGCAGGGAGATCACCGCTTGTTTTTGCGATGAGTAAAAGCTGGGTGTTGTTGTTGCTGGGGTTAAAGCTGCAGTAGCAGGTTATAAACTCTCAGCAAGACAATGGACTGTCATGCGATATTAAATCCATCAAATCTTTTCTTAGGCGCTCTATAAAAAGTAATGCATCCTTCGGTGTAGTAAACATTACGGCTAATGATGAAGTACGGTGCAGAGCATTCCGGCCTTGAGAGCCTGAAGCTGCCATATCTATTGGGGCCTTGTTGTGTGTCAAACAAGTTTTTTGTAGATTTTTGAAGCACTGCAGAACCCCTGGAAAAGCTCTGCACCAGAGATGACAGTGGGATGTGTGTGGAACAGAGCCCTCCGTGATAGGAACATAGGAGACCTGAAGCAGAAAATTGCACCAGCTCTTCTTCCCCCTCCTTGGCAGTAAAACTTCAATAATAATAAATTAAATATCTAGTAATTTGTTGCCCTTTCGTGATACGCAGTGGCAGATGTCTCACCCTGAAGAGGAGACATGCTCTGCTCCCAAGTAAAAGAGAAACAGACACACACACACACACACACACACACCTGTACATCTATGTAGAGTTGGCAGGTAGGTAGAAGTCTTACCTTTGTGCAGCAGCCAACCTGATCAACAGGTTCTCCTGCCATCATGTCTGGCTGATTCTCTGTTACTAACAATACATCAAGAGGGTAGTTAAGATGCCCTTTTTAAAAGTCTGTGCTCATGTGTAATTATTTTTCTGCCTAATGTATGATCATAAGTGCAGTTTTCATCATTAATGGTTTTCAGGTCTGGTGGACACGTCATCTAGCAGCCATTTATTGCTTCACATGCTACTGGTGACCTTACATTATCATTTAATGATGCTGAAATAAAGTAGAGTTCTCCGAGCGAGTGCTGGGATGTGACAAGAGTTTCAGAATCGGCAGTGGCATGCTGGATTTCAGTAGCTATACGGCAGTTGTCCTACATAAAGTTACATGCTGATGGTTGTGTCCAGACTACCAGATGAGGTTGTGGCATCTCCCAAAGATGTGCTTGCTGAGATTCTTTCAATTTATTTGCATGAGGGGAAAGGCTCAACAGGATTCAAAGATCTTGGGTAGCCATGCTAGACCATCAGGTGCAAAGAAGAGGAAGAGAAAATCACAGAAGTGCAGTGCCTTTAGTGGGACGAATTAAAATATCCCAAAGCACGGGTGGCACTGTGGGTTAAACCACAGAGCCTAGGTCTTGCCCATCAGAAGGTCGGCGGTTTGAATCCCCACGACAAGGTGAGCTCCCGTTGCTCGGTCCCTGCTCCTGCCAACCTAGCAGTTCAAAAGCACCTCAAAGTGCAAGTAGATAAATAGGTACCGCTCTGGCGGGAAGGTAAACAGCACTTCCGTGCGCTGCTCTGGTTGACCAGAAGTGGCTTATTCATGCTGGCCAAATGACCCAGAAGCTGTACGCCGGCTCCCTCGGCCAGTAAAGCGAGATGAGCGCCGCAACCCCAGAGTCGGTCACGACTGGACCTAATGGTTAGGGGTCCCTTTACCTTTATCTATTTTGGCTCTCTTGCTCCTGCTCCATAGATCAGCCTTCCCCAATTTTGTGCCCTCCAGCTGTTTTGGACCACAGTTCCCATCAGCCACTGCTGACATGCTGCCAGCTGTGGTCGGAAACCTCCAATGGGCACCAGGTTGAGAAAGGCTGATGTAGGAACAAAAAACATTCTCCCTCCCTCACCCCAACTCTCTTGTGCTGCACATCGGGCCCAGCCAGTGTGGGTTTATCTCTGGATGCTGTAGCATTACAGTAAGGCATTTAATGTTTAGTTTGGGAAATGAAAGGGGTTGTATAAATGTGGGATGATACCATTATAAGAGCAGTGCATCTCTCTGTAAATAATCTCTGTGGGGAAGCCAAACAATATAAGTAGCAGTTAAAACAGTTGTGTCTGTGTGCTTTCTTCAGAGAAGGGCAGTAGACGGCCGCTTTGAAGGATCTGGATGGGCCACAGTGCGATACATGGAATTATTTGGGGTATGAACCGCGGCAGCAAAATTAAACCTCAGAGGCTGTTGCAGATTATTTTTCACTAAGACTGGTGGGGCGAGGAGGAGATTGTGTTTGAAGATAATTGCCATTTTATTGCACAGATGACTTTTCCCCTTGCATCTGTTTCACAGATATCAACCTTTAAATTTTATTTAATTTGTATTGATATTTTTCCCCCCTGCACTTTTACAAGCCAGCATCACACATCTCAGCATAGGCAGAAAATGATTACTTAAGTGATGATTTAAAAAAAAAAAAATGGATGTACATTAGCACATGAATGATTAATTCTTGTTGGTGACTGTAAGCATCCCAGCTACGGTTGAGTAAAATATTGATGGCACAAAGGAAATGAGCTGCTGCTTAATTTAGTTTTTGTTCTGGTAATGTGTAACTAATGTTGTTTCCTCCTAGCAATATGCATTTAGGGGCCCTTTTTAAATGTTAATTCCTGGCGGTGGCGGCGGAACCAGGTGCTATGGAAGGATATGCAGAAGGTGACAGGCCTGTGTGTGGGGGGGCATTACTCTGAGAACCCGTTAGCCAATTTATTAAAACCAATGGGACTTCCACAACATCTACAAAGTGTTGTGGCATGGAGTGCCCCTGTTCACTCTGCCGGCTAGCCAGCCATGCCGCCTTCCATGGAACACTCTTCCATTTCCCCAGTGGTGGCTAGTGTCCAATGGGGCTGGTGGGGCGGAAGAGGGTAGGCCCTCAGTAGGTGGCGCCAGAGCCAACAACAGGCAGAGCCAACTCACTCTACTTTTGTCCCCTTGCTCTCACTCCCCCTGAGTTCTACAAGAGCAACACTGAGACTAAGTTGAAGGAATCAGACAGCCAGGGCCACCCTCTGGACTGGTCAGAAGTCAGAAGTCAGGCAGGTGCGGACTGGCTGAGATTGGTGCCCCATTTGCCCACATGGACCACGCTCTGTTGTATTTCCCCTCGCCACTCATTTTCCTTTCCCCTCCAACAGCCGGCCAGTATTATGTGGCCATTGAGGATGCTCAGTTCTCATTTCATGGTTCATTGGGGGTTCTGTAAACCTTGGGGTTCCCACAGACCTGCTGATACCTCCTTCTCGTGCAATGGGTGGTGTCTTTTGGGGTACATAAGCAGCAGCACACAAGTCC